GGTGGTTGGTCCTGGAGGCGAACAAGTCTATTGTTAGCGGGTATGTGCCCCGTCGTAATTCTTTGAATATCTCCCGGTTGAGTTTCCAATCGCTGGTATCTTGCCAGTGACGTGAGAACCAATCTGCCGTCAGGTTGGAGATTCCTGGTAGGTATTCCGCCTGTAGCGTGATGTTCCGTCGCAGGCAAAAGCTGTAGATGTCCTTCGTGGCTTCCGTCAATGCTCGAGATCTCGCTCCGCCTAGGCGGTTGATGTACTGTACCGCCGAAATGTTGTCCATGCGGAGCAGAATACAGCAATTCGATTTGTCCTTGGCCAGGCTGTGGATGGCGAAGGATCCTGCAATCAGTTCCAGGCAGTTGATGTGTAGGTTGGTCTCTTCCTCTTGCCATGGGCCTCCCGTGGTGGCGTCCGTGCAGTGAGCTCCCCATCCCCACAAGCTGGCGTCCGATTCCACGATGAAGTCCGGGGAAGAGCCGAAAATAGCCTTTCCATTCCAGGCTTGCATGTGTAGTAACCACCATCGAAGTTCCGTCCTCACTTCCGTCGACAGTGGAATCCATTGGTCGTACGAGTGCCCGGTGCGGAGGTATGCCGCCTTCAGCCGTTGCATGGCCCTGTAGTGTAGCGGGCCTGGGAATATCGCCTGTATGGAGGAGGAGAGGAGTCCCACAATCCGAGCGAGCATCCTGAGTGGTATTGTGTCCATCCTCAGAACCCGTCTGATTTCTTTCCTTATCGAGGCTATCTTTGTCGAGGGGAGGCGTAGTACGCAGTCCTTCGATTCGATATCGAAGCCGAGGAACTGAACCGACTGGGAAGGAGAGAGAGACGATTTTTGTCTGTTCACTACGAAACCTAAAGATTCCAGCAAGTGAACAACAAACTTCGTCTGCAATCGTAGTCTGGAGGCTGATTCGCAGAAAATTAGCAAATCGTCCAAGTATACGAGACATCTTATGCCCCGGGTTCGGATGTGCGCCATCACCGGTCTCAGGAGCTTCGTGAAGCACCACGGGGCTGAGCTGAGGCTGAACGGCAGACATGTGAACTGGCATATCCGTCCTCTCCATATAAAGCGGAGGAAACGTCGGCAGTGTACGCTTACTGGAACGGACAGGTACGCGTCTTTGAGATCCAGACGTGTAAACCAGTCGTTCTTGATGAGGAGGTCTTGTAGAAGGTGGATTCCTTCCATCTTGAAATGCCTGTATACTACAAACGAGTTTAATTGACGGAGGTTGATAACCGGTCTGTAGTCGCCTGTTTTCTTTTTGACCAGGAAGATGTTGCTTATGAAGCCTCCCCTTTCTGGAGCGTATTGTACTGCGCCTTTCCTGAAGAGTGTGTGGATCTCCTCGTCCACCAAGTGTTCTTGTTCCCTTGACAAGTGAATCGGAGGAGGGGGGTTGGCTTGTATGGGTTTTGTGAAGAAGTCTATAACGAAGCCTAATACTGTCTGTAGGACCCAGGCGTCTTTGGTAATCAGCTCCCAGTTCTGAAAGAAAAGGGACAGGCTGCCTGCTATAAAGTGTGAAACATTTTGGAATGTAGGTGGACTCACCAGTGGAGAAGCGGCCGCGTCCCCGACCTCTGAATCCTCTAGACCTCCCCGTCCCTCGGAACGAAGAGGGCCTTTGCGTCATAGATGGGAAGAAACTCTGGGTCTGCGGGAATGATCTGGAACCGGAGGTCCAAAAACGGCTGGTGGCTCGGTTCCGCTGCCGACCAGCCCTTCCAAAAACACCCCTTGTAGTCGGGGTATGAAAAACTTGCTTGAGTGAGGTTTGGGCCTTATTCAAAGTGGTGAAAAGGTTTACGTGCTTTTTGAGTTCTGCAATGAAGGCATCGCCAAACAGCTGTCCTTGGGCTTTCGGTCCGAATTCTTTTGCCCCGAGGTCCAGGAGCTTGTTATCAATGCGGATTAGTGCCGATCTGCGTCTTTCGGTGCACAATGCGGCGTTTGCGTTGCCCAGAAGGCACACCGATCTTTGAGCCCATTCCCGTATGATGTGTGGGTTTAGTTGGGAGCCTTGGCTGAGGGCTAGGTCTGCGAAGTAGAGTATTTTCGCGATGGGGCCGAGTAAGTCCAGCACTTTATCCTGTGCCGCCTTCATGCCTTTTTCCGCTCCCTTTCGGGGGTCTCGGCCCGAGCGTGACATAAAAACCACCACCGTATTGTCAAATTCAGGGGTAAATGCCACTTTGTCGGGTAATAGAGGTCTGGGGCACTCGGCCCGGAGGCGTGCTCGTACCTCCCTTTCCAGTGGCTTGCGCAGCCAGAAGTGAATGAACTTCGTCAGGTGTTCCGGTAGGCTCCACTCGGAAGACCGTGGGTGTCGGATGGAACGTGGGTCGAAGAGTGGGTTCCCTTGGTCATCCATAAACACTCCATCTCCGGTCTTATCGGTGAGGGTATTGCTATCCCTGTCTCGGTCGGTGGTGTCGATAAAAGTCTCTTTAACATATCCCGAGGAGGTGGGAGGTAGGTCCTGCCATTCCTCCTCTTCGGAAATTGAGTCCTCCCCATGCCACTCGTCAACCACGTCTAAGGTGCGTGGTACATAGGAGTCCTCTTCGTCGGAGGATGGAAGTGGTTGGGGTGCGGGTTGTTGTCGGCCCGTGGTCTTACTCCGTTTGGTGGGAGATTTGCCCTTAGTCTTAGTGGAAGGGGGGCTCGAAACCTTTTGTTGTCGTTTTACTTTGGGCATCTCGGAGCCCGAAGCCTCCATCCGCTCTGCGGGACTCATGTCGCCTTGACATTGGGGTAGGGCTTTCAAGAGGGCTTTCTCTACAGATGCCGCCACTGCAGCATTAATCATAGCCTGAAAGTCCTGGCTATTTTGGGTGTCTTCCATGGCTTGTAGTGTGTTTTTTCTCGTCCTGTTGGGCGATAATGAAAATCAGTGGAAGCAGTGGAGAAGAGTCAGTACATGTAGTGACAGACTCTTGGTACAACTGGGGGCCGCCCAGTTGGTAAAATTGTGTTTAGAGGCGTATTGTATACGGGCTGTTGCCTAATATAGAGGCCGCCTGTTATAAGCTCAGTGGTGGTGTATAGTTTGGGTTCGCCACAGTTGTACACCAGAGCTGTATGCACGTTAGGTAGCAGTCAGGGTTAAATGCCAGTTGAGGGTAGGTCCTCGTGCATATACTCGGGGTTCACCCCGGGTGGTGTGCCGTGGTAACCAGAGGACACCCACATAAGATAATGGTCAGTGACCTTGCATGCATATCTGGGGGGTCACCCCAGGTGGTGTGCCATGAAAAATACCCAGAGGACACCCACATCAATTTGTACCATCAGGTACAGTGATATAATGCAACCCTTGATGGGTGCTGTAATGTAACATGCCCTTGGAGGGTACAGTAATACAGTATGGCCCTGTAAGGGGTATGTAATAATATGCCTCTTGTGATTGTATAGTAGTAGTACCACAGTGTGGCTGTAGGGATACAGATTCCTTCAGATTGTTGCATGCAATATATCTATGCCCAGTGTATGGACAACTGGAGGTTAAATCCAAGAAAAACCGTTCATACTCCATAAAAAATGAAAAAAATATATATAGTGTGCAGAGTTGTCCCTATTAGGGTCCTTAGTAGGGGTAATGGAGGTATTGAGCGGTGATCGGGTGATTCCCGATCCGCTGTACTGTAGAGAGGGGCGGCCGCCGAGGATCTCGCGAGATGCGAGATCCAAGATGGCCGCCGGCCGCGTATGCCGCCGACCGCGTGTGTACTCGCTCGCGGCCGCGGGAGGAAGGCGCGGCGAGGGAAAAAATAACAAAACTACCCGGTCTCCCTCTACCCGTCCCCACACAGTCCCCGAGCATAAACAGGATAGGTCCGCGTTGCGAGCGTGGCACTGGCAGCCGCGACGCCCGCGGACCTACATACAATACAGGGAATATAATAAAATATAATAGTAGTTATAAGGAGGGGGAGCAGGGAGACAGGAATAGAGAGCCAGGAGTAGTAGGGTATAAAGAGTAGGTATGAACATTAGTAAGTATAGTAAATCATAACATGTCACAGAGAGGTAAAAGTACTCTCACCTGTAGGCTGGAGCAGCAAAGAAAGAGGAAGTGATGTCATAGACAGGGCCTTTTATGGGCACCATATCTTTTCTCTGATTGGTTGTTACTGTTTCTATGCTGCTGGAGTTTACAGTAAAGAAAGATATGCAAATATGAAGCCTCCTGTCATGTGGTAAAATTCTGCTTATTGGAGCCAAAACTCCATAAGTGATTGTCAACTGGAAAATGATATCCAAATTGAGAATGTTTGTAATATTCAAATGTACATTCTGTCCCATATATTATCCACAGATGTAGGTCAATAGAGTAAAATAAATAAATAAAGTGAAATTTACTATAACAAAGGTAAAAAAATATAAAATCGGTGTAGCGCTCTATACATACAATATGGTTGAGCCTAATAGAATAGTCAGGCTTCCAAATGTGGGTAGTTCCAATGTCTTATAAAGTCCACCTAAAATAAGCAAAGAGAACTCTAATAGTGTAACACTGTAAATTAAACTGATAGTGAGAGTCAAATATAATAACAAACTCACATTCTTCTGAGCTTAATGCCAAGCTCAGGAATAAGTGCGTATAGGTCCGTACAGGCGACCTTCCCCTTCTTCTTATTAGGTGTTTATCTCAGATCGTCTCTAGGACTCAAACAAAACAGATATATGGTGTAGAATGTCTGTATACAGTATTACTACTTAAAGTATATAATATACTCACAAAAATGGAGCCTCTATATCGGCTCTGTCTCTGCACGTTGAATAAAATGTAAAACTTTTCAAAGCAGGAACCAGGAAAAGCCCATATAGTATTTTAAAAAGTATAAATAATTTATTAAATTACAAGGGTATAAGAAACCCCCTATAGTAAATTAAAAACGCCAAAATACCAAGCGCTGAAAAATTAAAAATAAACAGATAATAAACAAATGGGCATAATAATATCATACACTTCTTTCCAGAACGCGTTTCGCCGTAACTCCGACGGCTTCCTCAGCTGGATCCAATGTCATTGGATCCAGCTGAGGAAGCCGTCGGAGTTACGGCGAAACGCGTTCTGGAAAGAAGTGTATGATATTATTATGCCCATTTGTTTATTATCTGTTTATTTTTAATTTTTCAGCGCTTGGTATTTTGGCGTTTTTAATTTACTATAGGGGGTTTCTTATACCCTTGTAATTTAATAAATTATTTATACTTTTTAAAATACTATATGGGCTTTTCCTGGTTCCTGCTTTGAAAAGTTTTACATTTTATTCAACGTGCAGAGACAGAGCCGATATAGAGGCTCCATTTTTGTGAGTATATTATATACTTTAAGTAGTAATACTGTATACAGACATTCTACACCATATATCTGTTTTGTTTGAGTCCTAGAGACGATCTGAGATAAACACCTAATAAGAAGAAGGGGAAGGTCGCCTGTACGGACCTATACGCACTTATTCCTGAGCTTGGCATTAAGCTCAGAAGAATGTGAGTTTATTATATTTGACTCTCACTATCAGTTTAATTTACAGTGTTACACTATTAGAGTTCTCTTTGCTTATTTTAGGTGGACTTTATAAGACATTGGAACTACCCACATTTGGAAGCCTGACTATTCTATTAGGCTCAACCATATTGTATGTATAGAGCGCTACACCGATTTTATATTTTTTTACCTTTGTTCTAGATTGATGTAAATAAGAAAGATTGCATCTAGGTGTTACAGCAGCTTGGTCTAAATATAATTTTGTTGTTAGACTAAAGAGTGTTTAATTTAATGATAGCGCCAGTGTATTATTTGTATTATTATTTGAAATTTACTATAGCCTACTGGTTATTCCTCTTATGAACTCAAATTTTTAGTGTCCCACTTTGTCAAACTTCAGACCTTAATAAGTATTGTCTACTTATTAAATACTTATTAAAGTCTAAAGTGAGTTTAGCTTACTGGGCTAACCAAACCAGGAAGTAAAAGTACTGGTTATCTGACAACCAAGGGGGTGAAACAATATAACAAGATTCATTTATAAAAGTGCCAATTTTGACTGAAATCTGCACTTTCTGTAAAATGGAAAAAAAGAAGACACACTCTTCATGCGTAAAGCGTGCTTAAGTGGTTTAGAATCTGAAGTGTCCCTTTAAAAATAATTTCCCAGAACACTGAAAATACTCAGATTCTGGCAGTGTTTTATTTGCAAACCACTTGATAGTGAAGGGATAAATGACACAGTTTTGGTGAATAGCTAATGCCCGTGTAGTCTTACTGCTATCTTATTTACTTGAATTTTTTTTTTTTAAATCAATTTCACATCCTATCAAGTTGAAACTTAGCTTTTACCTTTTTTACCTCCTGATGTTTACCATTTTTAGATTTCTTTTCTAGCACTTTGCAAAATATCTGACTGCAAAACATGCAAAAATACTCACAAAAATTTATTTTACAAGCAATAGCTTTCAAAAACTGAAAATTGATCCGCCACAGTGTGAATTGAAAATTGGTCCATCAAAGCATTACCAATTTTTGCTTTAGAACAAGAAGTCAAGCTCAAAGACTAGCACGGGCCAAATAAACAAGTTTGAAGTTTATGTGGGCCGCAAAAAATCAAACTTCAGTTTTCATCGAAACTAAAGGTTTATTTAGAAAAGTACAGTATAAAGTTGCCTAACTGACACTGGATGTCCTTACGTTCGTAGGACTTCAAAGTAAACATGAGAGTGAATTTATTTTAAGGAGACGTGTGCATTTGCATATAACCAATGTTTTAGTCCAACTGCCTTGACATATTAGGAAAAGTTTGGTAATGGGACTGGAAGTCTTATGAGTGTGTTCTTCACTTTGGCTGAGATCATCAAACTTAAAGATCTCAGCCAATCCAATGCTTTCTCCAATCTAATTGGGAGGTTATTGTGAATGTGTGGAAAAAAGCTTTGCGGACAGTCAGCATCTCCATGCAGACCCAATCCAATACACTGCCCCTCCCCCATCCTAATACATTGCCCTCAAATCCAATACACTGCCTCCCCTCCCTCCACTCTAATACACTGCCCCCTCCCTCCACTCTAATACACTGCCCCCTCCTCCCTCCACTCTAATTGAATACAATAACCTCCCTCCACCAATTTATTCCACCGCCCACTCCCTCAAATTAATACAGTGGCCACCTCCCTCAAATGAATACACTGGCCCCTTTCCTCCCCCAAATTAATACAATGCCCCCATCCTCACCCAAATTAATACACTGGCTCCTTCCCTCCCCCAAATTAGTACAGTTCCCCCCTCCTTCAAAGTAATACACTGGCCCCCTCCCCCAAATTAATACTCTGGCCCCCTCCCTGAAATGAATACACTGGTCCCCTCCCTTCCTCAAATGAATACATGGGCCCCCTCCCCCAAATTATTACACTGGCCCTCTCCCTCTCTCAAATTAATACAGTGGCCACCTCCCTCCCCCAAATTAATATAGTGGCCCCCTCCCTTAAATTAATACACTGGCCCCCTCTCTCCCCAACTTAATACACTGGCCCCCTCCCTTAAAATTAATACACTGGCCCCTCCCGCAAATTACAGTACACTACACAGGAAGTTCCACCAAGCCCCTCTTCTCCTACCTTAAAATGAGCCGCACGTCCCCCGTTCCAGCTCTTCTCTGCTAAAGCAGGCCAGACGCTCCTCTGGCACTGCGAGCAGGAGGGAAGGGAGAGTGGCTGGCCTGCTCTGCAGACAGACAGCCACTCTGTGCACAGTAGTGCCACATGAGCAAGCAATTGGCCGTGGGAGGAAATAGAAGAATCAGTTGCAGCCACTAAGCACTTAGCGGCCCCAGGTCCGGCGGGCCGCAAAGATATTCATTGTGAGCCACATGCGGCCCACGGGCCACAAGTGTGACATGCTTGCTCTAGAAGCTAAATGAAAGATTAGGGCCTTTGTATATTTAGTTTAACCAGAAGTTGGAGAACTGCTTTGTTAAGAAATGGAACTGTTCACAATCATTTTGTTTCTAAAATGTTTCGCAAACTTGGAAATTTAGACTGCAAATACCCAAATCCTGTTGGCAATCTCTGTATAATCCACACCAGCAAGTGGTAATATCCAGTAAGGAATCATTCATTTAAGATCTGAATGAATCTTTAGTAAAAGAAAAATGTGTTTTCTAATATAAAAGGTAATGTTTTAAAACATGTGTCAGATTCATAAGGATTTCATTGGCTGTCTGTGTAACCGGTAATTGATCAATGTAATACTAAATTAAAGGAATCCATATATTTCTAATCAGCGTCTTCTTAACTAGGGCGTATTGCAGCAATCAAGATGATGTTGCTTCCAAAATTACAATATTTATTCAGGTCCCTGCCAGTAAAAATTCCAGTCAACTACTTGTCTGTATTGCAAACGAGGTTTGAGAAATTTATTAACCAAGGATACAGAACCAAGATGGCCGTATCTATCACTAAATAATGGATGGTGGAGGGTGGTCTGGGGTTATCGGACTTAAAACTATTTTAACAAGCAGTGTCCCTAAGTCAAGCTATCATGCTGCAAAAAGTCAAATTTACTCCACAGTGGCTGGATGTAGAATCCTACTGGACCATAGTGGCGGGGGTACACGTTTTATTCGAAAACAGCTAGACCTAAAACACAGAACATTCTCCCTAGTACATTGCTCTTTTTGCACATTTGGGATAAGATCCATGCGGAATCGGACATATTCTCACTGATTTCATTGGCTACTGCACTAGCGTTTTTTAGATATCTGATCCTCACGTTTGAAAACAGACTATGGGAATTGAAGGGTTTGATTTACCCACATCAGATATGAGTAAAGAATAAGCTGAAGACTCTGTCCTACTTGATGATGGAACACAATATGCCATACAGCGTGTTCCTTTCATATTTTCAAATTCAGTGTTATCTAAATACTCTTCCAGTGGATAAAGACCAGGCTTATGATGTACCCAACATTTAAATTATTGAAAAAATGTGCACTAATGTAACACCCAATTTTAAATTGATTTCAATCTGCTATGATATACTGAACAAAGATAAAACAGATATTCTTCCCAAGTTGGCTTCAGAATGGGAAAAAATCTGGGATATTCTCTTTTTCCAGAGAAATTGAGAAAAGCATTCAGTACATAAATGGTCTTACGTTCTGAAACTCACATCTTGAACTGATAAGAAAAATAGTGCATAGGTGGAACTTGGTCTCTGTATAACTAGCCCTGTTTAACTGGCTCATATGAACAGATTCAACTTGGATAACAGTTGGTATTGTTCATAAATCCAAGGTACGATGTTCCATATTTAGTGTCAGTTTGCATTTATGCAACACTTTTGGCAGGTGGTAAAAGGGGTAATTACTTAAGTCACAAGAAGTTTTGAATGCTTAATTGTGTCTGTTATTTATGTTCCAGCAAAATATCCAAAGATAATTGAAACAGTTGATGTTTCACATTCTAATTGCAGCAAATCTGTTGATTGCTAGAAGGTGGAACCCTACTCTAGCTCCTACGAAGATGAACATATCACTCAAGTATCCTTAGATGGCACATACAAAAAAATGACATACTTAAACTCCAAGACGAATAGCAAAACTATTCAAGCATGAGAAACTTAGGATAAGCAGAGAAGCTAAAGTTTACTCTTTAAGTGGAACTTCTGGGAACAACAGAAGGGTACGTGAGCGAATCTTGACGATGGGAGTTAAAATCTCTGGGCCGGACGGGACAGATAACGTAGAGTACTTCTATAGGTATTGTAGGACAGCATCTCCAGACACTTCTCTACACCCTTATTTCTTTCATTCTTCTTTTTCTCTTCTTTTTGTGTTATTCTTTCTTTCTAATGTTATGTTGGTTTCCTCCTGTAGACCACTTAATGAGAATGTAAATGTACTTAAATACTAAAATGAAGTGATACTACAGTTCCACTTTTTCTACAGGATGTAGACATTATCAAAATGTTCAGAGCACGCTACACCTTTACGTGAAGTTTATTTGATAGTGATATTATTAATAATTGTATATGTATAAAATGTACATACACTTAGCACCAATAAAAACAT